ACCTAAATGCGTTGAATGGGAAACTGGAATAAAGGAATAAGGGGCATCAGTAGTTACTCTTTCCTAGTCAGAATCTGAAGACAAACATTCATTTTTGCTTAGTGACCCTGCATATTTTCTAAAAACAGTATTCATCAGAAAATCAAACAAGGAAATACTGGGAATAGTCTAAAGACTCCTTTTATTTAATGTTCATAGGGGAAGACTGAGGAAATTTGAAACAGAGTACCCAATTTTGCCTAAAACATGTGACTCCCTTCATTTAAGAATCGTTTGTAATTGGAAAGATAAGGCTGACTCCAATCAGATGGCTAGAGAAAAAGAAAGCTGAAGGAAGAAGTTTTGGTTCTGTGGTGCTAAGATAATTTGGGTTTGTCTGAAGGGGAGATAAACATTCAGCTACAAACACTTTTAAGAGGCTATTTCTATGGAATAAAAGTAGGAATGAAAGGTTGGAGGAAAAATTAGGTTGGTGCTATGGAAAACAATAGCAGACGAGTATGAATTATGCAAATGCTTTAGGAAACTAAAAAATAAACTTGAATCCCCTGTAAAAGCAATGTATACTCTTAAATGATAAATCAGGATCACAGAGAATCGAGATTGTAAAGAGAAAAGTGACTGATAGCAGGTACTCAAACTGCAAATGTAAATAAAATAATTTGTATTAGATAGATTATTTAACATGACGTTTGGTCTGGGTGACTGGCTTCTGATTCTTTCACACCTGATTTAATCTTAAGTGAATTGTTCCATGGTTTTGGTCCATTGTTTTCTCAACTGCTAAATGGAAATAATCAACTCACAGGGACTGTTAGGCTGTTAGTGCAACAGTATACTTAAAAGGGCTTAGCATATAATTAGGAATTAGCATACAATTGGTCCTCCATTATTGTTTGAGTTGAGGATGGTGGGCTCTAGATTCTAACTCTTTAGGTTCTACTGGCGTCAACAATTGTTCATTCTAGATCTTGTGCAATCTGCCTAAACTATCTGCACCTTCTTTCTTCTTTCTTAGAAAGGGATAGTAATAGTGACTTCCTGCATTAGTTTCTCTTGCAGTGTAATGAGTCACTACAAATTTAGCGGTTCCAAAAAAATTCAATGAGTTCTTAGTTGTCTCTTGTGGTTGTCGTTGCTGTTGTTGTTCTGGGATATGACCTATGATGCTCCAGGCTTATTCTTGGCTCAGGAATCACTCCTGGTACTTTAGGGGGACCATATGCAGTGCCATGAATTTGCCTTACTCCCCATAACATCTAGCCCACCCCAACTCCTTAATTCACAGTTTTATAAATGAAATTCTGGTTTTTTGCTTTGGATCTTAAAGGCCGAAAACCAGATTTGAATTCAGAGGCATTTTTATACATTAAATACAATATTTTTAGTTATAAAACAAAGTATTTAGATGCACATTGGGCAAAAGTTTGTGATATGATTTGGTATAAGACCAAGTTATCTGATTACATCTTTTTTTAAAATATTCAATAATTACAGAAATAAATACTGCATTCAGTGCATCTGCTTCTTAACAAATTAAAAGATGAGTTAGAATTTTTTCTAGGAAATTTAATGAGGAGTGGTAGGGTGGAGAAATAAGGGATATAATAAGGAAAATATATATATACATATATGCATGTATTTGTGTGTACAAAGGTATCAGTTGTTAATGTCACATATTCTTTATAGTTTGGCAGTGTATCCTGCAGAATGGAAGATGAGATCAGCAGTGATTGTGTAGCTTTCTTGGTATCATACGTAGCAGTAACATGCAATGGTCTAGCTCAACACCCATTGCCAACCTGATTGTCTTTTTTCTGATTCTACTAAGGACATCTGGAAATACAAATACGTTCTAAGAACCAAGGTGAGAACAGGGGAGCAAAAGGAATGGCTTTGAGAATATTTTTCCTCTTTAATAAAACACACAAAAGCAAAATAATTATTTTCTTATGGACTTCTATGATTATTCTCTTCATCATTGTCATCTTCAATTAACATCAGCATCACCATCACTCTCATTGCTGCCAGAACTGTACTATTTTACAGAGAATATTAGGGCCTAGAGAGGAACTGATCTGCCTGCCTGCAAAGAGCTCTTGGCTGCTGTGTTCCCATTCAGATATTGGAATTTAGCACTTTTGTTACTTCAGACTCTGAACTACAACACAATAAAAATAATAATTCTTAAAAAGTGTTAAGCTCCAAAAGTTCTGTTTTTTTTTGTTGATATTTTACAATTCTGCTTTATTTTCAAGCAGTTTCCCAAGCTGTTTGCTTTGTAACACTGAATCTCAGTATGTTAACAGGTGTACAGAGAGGAGAAAATGCCCAGGTGTGAAAAGAAAGTTTGCAAAATGCTGGATTAATCATATTTGGAGACGTTTCTAAACAAGACCTTGTAAAGTTTTTAATAAACTTATATTAATCTTCAAGAGTTTTGACATGCAGTGTTTCTTAATTTTTTTTTCACTGTAGGAGACACTTTCCCTGAACAAAGCCCCATTAATATCTTGGGATAAGTAACTTTCTAGATTAAAAAAAAATTGGGAAGTGCTATCTTCAAGTGATGTATAGATTCATTTTAGGTGCCTAGTAATATATCTGATAAAGCAGTAAAACTTGGAAGCTGGATCATATGTGATTAAGAAAGGACCCATAGCATACTATGTGATAGAGAAGATTCATATCAAAATTTCTTTCTTTGTAAAAAATAAATCAGTATCTTTTGCTCTTTTTACATTTCATATATTTTATTTATGAAGACTAAATGTAAATTTAATAGAAGTGAATGAATCCTATAAATGTAAATTAGCTAAAGTGCTGGGAATTCTCAGAATTAAACATATTGGTACATGATCATTATCAATAATTAGGGATAAGTGTATACCAGGAACTATGTACCTATGTTGGCTTACTGAATGAATTTACATGGAAAGGGAAAAAAAGTGAAGCATTAAACTGGCAGCATACTTTATAAGGTGCCTTCCAGCTGATATGAAATTGCACTTATAGGCACAACTCCAAGTATATGGTTGTAGAATATACATTTAATTGAATTTATTTAAGTGATAAAGTTCCCATATTATTATTTTGTACTGTTCTGCTACTTCACTACTCTGATCAGCAGTGGCATTAGCCCACCACCTCTGTTATAAATTGCCCCCTAATTCCCCTCCAAATTACATATTTTAGTGTAAATTTATGTTACCCTGGAGTTTCTTTTAAAAAAATGGAAAGAAAGATAAAATTTTAGAACATATAGTTTTACCCAAAATTATTAAACTCGTAACATGAACATTAAGTTCCTTTTCCTTTTTCACTAGAAACTGGGAATAAAATGTGAAACTCAACAGAAATCTTAGCACACTCCATTAGGAGTATGGAGTCACTGACCTCTAATTTTGCATGTTCCCGATTTAGTACATTGTTTCAGAAGGAAAACCTGAAAACGGATATCAAACATTTCATTCTAGAAATCTCAAGCAACGTTTTAATGATGGGCATACTGTAATATGACTAAAAGCAGGCTTTTGAAATTAACAATGCTATGCCAGAAAGTAAGAATTTACTTAAAATTTCTTTACTGTATCTCTGGACAGTTGTGTCTTATCCTAACATCTGTGACTTTATGCATGGAAGTAGGCTGTGAATAAATGAGTTTGCCTCTTTTCCTTAATAAAGTCACTTCAAAACAATGTTCATTCTCCCTCTCAACAAACTTGAGATCTGAATAAACCTTGTTTTGCAATAACTTTTTCTTATTTTGCTGCCAGTAATACAATACCTTAACTTCTCCACAGCAGTATGCAGTGTTGCACTCCATCAACCTTACAACCTGGATCTCACTTTAAATTCCAAAAGGAAAGAAGAAATTGAACTTTAAAGGACTAAAGGAGGCAAAGGAGATAAAATTGCTTTGCCAATTGTCCTTTGCTATCCTTTCTTGGTACATTCTTTTTTCAAATCCTTGCCTCTGCCTTTGAGGATGCTGCCTTCAATTTCTCTATGTCTGTGTTTCTGTCTCCCTACCTCCCTCTATAGAAGAAAAAAAAAAGCTGCTTTTCAGTTTGGAACCTGCAACTGCTGGAATTGAATCCATGTACACTAAGCAATCATTCTAACAGAAAAACAGGAGAAAACACTATTGTAAGCCATGGGCTGTATTTTGGTTCAGCCACTTTCACTGCAAAACCCAGTCCATTTATATTGGTTTTGGTGGTGAGCAGGGAAATTTGATCCACCCTAGTGATGCTTCCAGAATATGCCCTGGCCTTCTATTTTCTTGCAGTTCTCAAACTGGTTCCCACTATTTCCCATCTGAAGCAGATGCCCTGCTTAATGAGACCCAGGTCTCCTCATTGCTTCCCCATTTCATCACCTCTTGCTCTCGGTGAACAGATGATCCCACTGACCAGCCTTAGGTCTAATAATTAAAGTGAAAGAAAGAAAGAAAGAAAGAAAGAAAGAAAGAAAGAAAGAAAGAAAGAAAGAAAGAAAGAAAGAAAGAAAGAAAGGAAAAGAAAAGAAAATCCACCCACAGCAGAGCAGCCTTGGTCTTTGCAGATGAAATTCTGGCTGCTGACTAAGTTGCAATTCCCGAGAATCCGGGACAATTAATTCACTTTGCAGGGCTCTGTGTCTCACGCAGCTTGGTGCCCCGGGAGCCACTTTTCCAAACCTCTTAACTTCTTTTCCCCTGGCTATGCTGAGTAGGGGGGGCTTCGTGGGGAACCCTTTAACGCGGTTAATTGCGAAGTTAATGCAGGCAGCGCAGAGAAATTTCAGGCACCCGGGGCGCTTCCCCGTTCTCAACCCCGGAGGCTCTGGCGTCTGTGCAGAAGGTGCCGGCGACAAAGCAACTTCAGACGCGGTGGCAGGTGCCAGGGCGTGGCTGCAATTGTCTGGCATCCCTTTTGCAGCTGCCCGAGCCACCTGAGAGGGCTGGGGGGGGCCGGGGGAGGGAGGGCGGGCCGAGAGGGTGGGCGGGCAGGCCGGGGCTCACACGCACGCCGCCTCTGTTTGTACACAGTGCGCTCGGGCTCACGCTTCATTGTTCTCCAAGTCGGGAGCTCGGCCGCCGGGGCCAGCGTGCCGTCCGAGGGGCCGCCGCCGCCCGCGCCCCGCCCCGCCGGGACCCCCCCGGGAGCGCGCCCACCCCCGGGGAAGCGGCGTCGCTCGCGCCCGGCACCACTTTCTCGCCCTCTCCAGGAATTTGTTTCGGGAAGCGCTGCGGGAAGAAGACATCTTCCCCGGGCCGGCGTGGGGCGGGGTCTGTGGCTCCCCTGCGGCGCCTCCGCGGCGACACTGCCCTCCGCGGCGACCCCGGGCCAGCCGGGGCCACGTCCCGGAGCCGGGACCATGACGCGCTGCTCGGCCGCCGCTTGGCTCTTGCTCTGGCTCAGCCTCGGGATCCCCCAGTTCTGCAAAGGTGAGGCGGTGGGGCGCCGGGGGGCACCGGGTGCGGGACGGGACGGGGAGATGCCTTTCCCCCCGGGAAATGCGGCGGCTGGGGGGCTGGAGGCCGTCCCCCACAAGCGCGCCCTGGGCGGCGAGCTCCGCGGGCGGCGTGGAGGAGGCGGCGCGGCCCGCAGAAGTGCTCATAAAAGTGAGCGGAGTGTGCGGGGAGCTGCGTGGCGTGCGGGGCGAGGGGTTCCGGGGTGCGGCCAGAAAGACTGGGACCGAGAGGAGACGCGAGGGAAGGGGCGCTTTGGGGAGACGGACATCTCCCGATGACTCGGCCCGCGGGGCGCAGAGCATCGCCTAGCTCCCCGGTGATGCAAAGCGCTGCGGGCTCCTGGTACCGGGCGGGCTTAAGTCGGGGACTGGAGCCCGGCGGGGTGGGGTGCGTGGGTGGGGAGGGCAGAGAGCTGGTCCCGGCACCCCCAGTCGAAATGACAAGCTGGAGGAGCGGGGTGCTGTACGCCCGGCTCCAGGCCGGGGCTGAGCGATCCGTTGCTCGGAACCCAGAGCTTGGAGTTTGGCCGCGGGAGGGGTGGAGACGCGGCTGCCGGCCCCGGGTAGCTCCGGCTTCCACGTTCAGGGGCGCGCAGCAGCAGAACCCGCGAGGACCCCGGGACCCTGAGTCTCCCCAAACCCCAGAGGCAGCGAGTGCAGCTCAGCACTCCCTTCGGGTGCAAGTTAACTCTTGGTAACGGAGAAACGTGCCTGGCGAGGCGACCCTCGCGCCCCCCTCTCCCCCCCTCCCCAGGAAAGAAAAGTTGTGAGATCTCGTCTGGTGCGGCTTTCCCTGACTTCGATGGTTGCAATAATAATAATAATAATAATAATAATAATAATATAACCTGAGTGTTTAAAAGAGAGGGCTAAAAAAATCCCAAGACTTGGGCGAGTCTTCCTGCTGAGTTGCATGGAAGACTCCAGGGTCCTTTGCCAGGGGGTAGTTTAGAAATTACAGTCCGGGTCCCGTCCGCGTCTTGTGGCACGTCGGGCCTGAAGTTGGTGCCGGGAAAGCGGAAGGGGTCGAAGCGGGGGTTTTGGGGAGGCCGAGCCAGCGACACCTGCGGTCCTTTTACGTGTGCGGCTGCTGGAAGCCCCTTCCCAGGGGGTCCGCGGGTAATAACATCCTCCGCTAGCTGCTTCGAGTGGCGACTTGAATGCCCTACAGGGGGTTTAAATAAATGTCTTATCCTTTAAAAGGATTGGCTTTAAAAAAAAAAGGAAGAAATAACGTTGACTTCGATCCATTTGAAATCAGACACTGCAGGAACATTTTACACCATGCATCCATGCACCCACCCCTCTATTGGTTCTACAGGAAAACGGGGGATTCTTGGACTGCTGTTTGCCCAAGAGGCTTGGTATTCCCGCCCAGATGCCCTCCCTGCCCGGCCGGTGGCGATCCGTGGCCGCGCCTCGGCCTCCCGGGTTTACCCCAGAACGCGGTTATTGCCCCCATCGTGCAGGCGCGCGTGCGAGTGAGTGTCTCGTCTGCCTTTCCCAAGCGCCCTTCCCGGTCCCAGGCCGAGCAGCCACTTTATTGAAGGTTAAGGGTTGGTAGCGGCTCTATAGTTAACTCGGTCGAGTAGCCCGAGGTGTGCAAAAAAAAGAAGCCTGTGCTCCCACCAGCCCGGTTTCCCCCCATTCTCCCCTTTTCCATCTGGATTTCTTTGGCACTTTGATCCCTTGGCTGGCAGGAGAAAGGGAGAACTGCAGGCACTCCCTTCTCCTCCCCTCCCACCTCCCTTCCCACGCCATGCACGAAAACACATACACTCACCCACTCACACGCACCTAAGCCTTGCCACCGCCGCCACCATCTGTCCCCACGCCTAGAAGGAGGGTGGCGGGGGTGGTTGGGATGAGGGAGATCGACTCCCGTGTTACGGGCGCTCCCGGGCGCGGTGGGTCCTGGCTGGAGGCATCCTGGAGCTCGGTCTCAAAGATACCCAGTCCCTGAGCACAGTTTACTCCTCCAGGCAAACCGAGGAAGGTGATGTTGCTTAGAGGATCCTTTCTGGGCTGCTAGACAATGCTCGGGCAGCCGTTGTGCTCCGTATTCTCCAGGAGATCTCTCCTTTCTTAGCCAGCCTTGCGGGGAGAGGGAAGGACGCCTTTAGCAAAGAAACGGACTCCCTCCATCTGCCGTGAGCCTTTTTGGTTAAACTTGGCACCTTTCTAATTTACTCACTCGCAGCCCTGCAAGAAGCTCGAGTGCAGCGTGCACGACAGCTCCAAACAATTAAACTTTGAGCAAACTTATTGAAGCCAGCGTTGACACGGAGAATTTGTCATGCAAACGCACCCCACCCCAGCATCATTTCTTTCTACTGTATGCCTTTTTGAAACTAGTGTTTCCCTGTGTGGGTTGCAATTTACTTACATCAATGCTTGGGATTTGATAAGGACGCGCAATTCCTTTTATTAGTCATTTTTATTTTAAAATTAAACCAATGGATCAGTCAGATTGAATATTTTATTAACTCTTAAATTATTCATCGTTATGGGTTGCTCTAAAAAAATCCAATAATATGCATACAGTTGCAGCAAACACGTGACATCTTATGCAATCTGTCCCTGCGCCTGCAGTTTGTGCCTGAAGTCTTTAAGCAAATGGCACTGTCTAAAAATGTCTAGACATGTCCTAAATACTATGAATCATTGGCATTTACATTTCCTTTTTACTTAATTCTGTGTAAGATTAAATTATTACCAGAACAATCTCACTTGAACTAATAAAACTATGCCGCTCTGCTTATTTATGATAAAATAAGCAAGGTTTTTTTGCTTTCAAAATTATTGCATGTTAGTGTACTTATTGCTTAATTATATGATCATTATTGTTTTGGGAGGTGGCCATACCTGACAGTGCTCAGGGTCTTACTACTGGCTCTGAGCTCAGGAATCACTCCTGGCAGGCTTGGGATACTTTAAAAATTAACTGCTAATTTATGTTCCAGGTGAGACATTTAAAAATAATCTGGAAGTACTGAATTGGAATAATATCCGTGTGCAGATAAAGTATCCTGCACTTTAAGGCAGGAATGCAAAATATAGGCCATGTACATCGCTGAGGCACTACACGTTAATTTCCCAGCCACTCCTTCCACCCAAATCTGGTTCAGTAAAAATTTTTAGATTTTTTTCAAATGTTTTCTTACAATTGAAATGCATATATGCATATATATAAATTTTGTGATGAAGCAAAACATTTTTAATAATAAAACTTAATGATTAAAATGGGGTGGTTCTACTTTTCCTTTTATGATCGTGAAGTTAACAAAGATCTTTAACAATATGCAAGTGTTTTTCACTTCCATACTCTTCTTTAAATTAAAACAGTTAAGTTTTTCTTCACTATTTTAAGTTCCATACTTATATAAAAGCAGCATTGTCGGTTGAGTATAAATCAATAAGTTTTAATAAAGTTTGTCTTCATCATATGATTTTCCCCCTAATCTCAAGTGAAGATATATACATGACTAAAACTAGCTAGGTTATTTTACCTTATTTTGGAAACTGTTTTACAGGTTTTTTTTTTTATCTAAATTAGTAGATCAAATTCTAAATTTTACTTGTAATTTGATGAAAATTCTCTATTAGATAATTTTTAAAATTAGGTCATTTAATTTTATTATGAATTTCATGTTTTGTAGGATTTGTAGGATTTGTGAAGTAGGATTTGTGAAGTGGGATGTATTATCACTTGCGTCCAATTTTAAAATCTGTTGATAGTTTCTAAAGTCTCGCAATGTAATCCTGATATTTGTTGCTTGCTGAATACGCTTGCAGGTGCATGAGCTTTGAGTAAGATTTATAATGTAGTATGTTTGTTTTGTCCTTGCCAGAATTAAAAAACGCATACACAAAGACACATACACAAAGAACCCAATAGTGTACACCTCATCACTGTCACTATCACTGTCCTCCCGTTGTTCATCGATTTGCTCGAGCAGGCCCAGTAAGGTCTCCATTGGAGACTTTTGTTGTTACCGTGTCTGGCATATCAAATACATCACAGGTAGCTTGCCAGGTTCTGCCGTGAGGGTGAGATACTCTCGGTAGCTTGCCGGGCTCTCCGAGAGGGGCGGAGGAATCGAACTCAGGTCGGCCACGTTGACTGAGTGCAAGGCAAACGCCCTACCTCTGTGCTATCGCTTCAGCCCTCATAATTTAGTTCAAATCGTAGTAACTCAAAGTGAGTAGGGACTGAGAAAAAAAGAGCAACTTTTGCAAATATGTACTTATGGTAATGGAGTGTATAATAGCAAGCCAGTTTATAATTTGTAAATTGAGTTTATTACCCCAGTTCTTCACAAATTGACAATATTATGGGGGGGGGGGGGCGCAGAAAACTAAATCATAGCCATTCCTTCATTTTTCACATCTTATCTAAAGTTGCTTAGCATTAAAAACAAACAAACAAAACCTCCTTGTAAAGTTCTTAGTTTTTTCTTGTTGTTGTTAACATGCTAATATATACAGAGAGTCAAATGAGTGCCCACTCAAAAGTAAACTAAACGTTGAAGTTCTTCTCATATTTATGTGATAAGTTAGGACTTGAATTCTGTAAAAACTCTAACCAAATGACTTACTAGTTGTCAATAACAGATCTTTGATTTGAGGGAGTGTTGAAGGGAAAAATAAACTGGAATGAATCAGCCCTGCCCTTGCCAGTAGGTGTCAGGATAATCAGGAGAGATCTTTTAAGGAAAAGATGAAAAAGAGTAAGAGAACTAGTAAATGTTAATATGCAAAACCTCATAAAGTGGCTTTCTGTTTTGTATGAAACTATATTACTTTTCATTGCTCTCTGGAGGAAAAGGAGGGGAGGGTGAATTTTAAGGGTCTACTGTTAGTACTATAGCATTTTAACAGTTGCTCTAACTGCTACAAAATTCTTATTTTTCAGGAGTCCTCATAGCACTTTTCAAAATACAGATGTATATTATATATAATATATTATACATT